GGAGGAGGCAGCAGCAGCAGTAGGAATAGCAGCAGCAGCAGAATCTTCTTCAGTCTGACACACAGAAGGAATGATACATGAGTGCTCACAAAGTCAACAAAGAAGGGCCATGGAACATCCCTGGATCCTCCAGGTTCTGCTATTCAAATCAGTAAAGGCCAAACTTGGGTTAGAGATGGTTCTTGCAAGTCTTCTGATCCATATGGATTACTTCCCTATCAAATGTTTTAGTGCACACCCCATTGTCTTCTCCTACTTACCTTGATTGTTTCCTGCAGAGGCATCTGGTTCTCTTTCTCCATGTCTTGCTTCACAGAACAGGAACTTAGACCATCAGATCTCATCTTCCCCAGCCACTGGATGTTAGTGAGACTATTGTCCAACACAGAGCTCATTGTCTCACCACTACCTGTTGGGATAACAAGCCCATAGCTCTGCTTACTCACAAGTAACCCTCTTCCCCCTTCATCTTAAGTGCCAAAAGGAAGGCACTAGTCACACTTCTAAAAGAGGCATCCCTGTCTCAAGACAGGGACAAGATGGTGTTGCAGTCCTAATGTGTCTCGTGCAAGGAATTCAGCCTTGAATTCCTGATTTAATGTGAATCTGCCCAATTTCTGAAAAAAGCTGCAGCCTTAAAAACATTCAAACCAGACTATTGCCCTCAACCAAAACAGGACAATGTTGATTCAGTACTTCAAGAATTCAAGTATTTTTAAGCTAAGGGATTAATCTAGTAATCAAAGGCCAAGGAAGGTGGTGACAAACTCCAACGGAAAGACCTAGCAAAAGATCCAAGTCAGAAGCTGAGGTGTCTCCAGGTTTTTGAACTTCAATGAAAACTAACATAGTTTTGTTATTTCTGGTGAGATTGGTTGTAGCAATGCAGCTAATGCAGCTATATATGGGTTCCTGTCAGACAGTACTATACTATGGGATAAGACTTGCCACAGCCCACAAGCAACACAGCTATCTCAAGTTGCAAATACAGATTTGATCTGAGCAGTGTTTCAAAGTAAAATCCATCCCACTTCTAACATGTATTCAGCAGCTTCATGAGACAGTCAAGGAGGAAACAGACCTGCCACTTGGTTATTAAAGGATGGGAATCATCTCTTTTTTTAAATCTCTAGGCCCGTATGTTTTGTCATGACGAGGGTACTCTTGAATTCAGCCATAGCCCTTTTGCTAAATGAAACTTAGTCTTTTGTTCTTCTAGACTTGATTTGCTCAAGCCAGCCCTTCTTTTTGCCCCAGCACTAAAATTTTCCTTCGCTATACACCTTTATGTGTCATCTCTTCCACCAAAAATATATCCACTAATATCTTTCAGATTTCACTACATACACATGTACATTATTAGAATCATAATGTACATATGTACACGATAAGAGTAAAATCTGAAGCTATTTTGTAACTAACAAAATAATTTGCATTACTGCATACCGAGTCCCAAGCACTACACTTCACAACTCTTTGTCTATCTGTCGGGACAAAAAAAAGGGTAAAGATTACATACTGTTGCTCTCCTGCTCCTGTCCAACCACAGAATCAATTCCTGAATGCCAGAGCATTGTCCCTCCTGCAAGACCAGGTGTCTGTGTAACATTCTTGTCTCTTTCTTGACCACCTGTAGCCTTGGTTGCTGCACTGGGTTTCTTCTCTGATGGGAGATGCTGCGATGGTGTTGGACCTGCCGAGCAGGATGTGCCCCCACTGCTAATGAGAATGAACTTGTTGGGCCCATTGTTGCCACATTCTTTTCCTTTTGCAGTCAGTGCCTCTATGATGCTCTGGATATCAGCATTTGTGGGGATGGCCACCACTTGTGTGTTGGGCATGGTAGGATGGTCAATTATTTTTTTTCCTGCTGGGAATTTCTGCAGGCC